CGATAACACTGCTGAATAAGAAAAGATCTAAAAAGTCGAGTCTGAAAGTCTTTCATAGTCTTTCGTAAAAAGGGCGGCAGAAATACTGGTGTCTGATGCAATGCAAAGTTCACTCGAATGTACCTTCACATGATCTTAGTCTCAGATCTTTTCTGTTTCACATCTACTACTGGCCTATTCTGAAAAAAAAATTTGATTCAAAGAAAGATGGAAGTAAGCACAAAAAGACAGAGAAAGCTGTGGAGGAGAAGAGTTTACCAAATACAGAGTGCCGCTGAAGCGAGGTGAGCGAGTGTGTCAGATTTTGCTAAATGTGTTAAGGTTTAACATTTGGTGCAGTGGAGAAGAAAAAGACTCCCAGCGGCAGTATTATCATGCGTCTGATCTGCACACGGTTGTCAGCTGACCTGATCTTTACATTCAAATCCCAGCACGCTCCCAGACGCGGCTAAAACTAGATGTTGTTGTTGCTGAGAAGAGTTTATCCATGAAATTGTTGCACCTGTGAATTTGCATGCTGGCTTGGATTGTGTGTTGTTAACTTCTTCTGAAATCTCTGCTTTCCCTCAGATGTGGTTGTAAAAACTGCTGTATGGGACTTCTTGGCAAAGGAGAGAGATAACAGAGATAGCTGACCTAGATGATGACCTTTCTGCTCTGTGTTGTTCCACCAGTGGTTGATCTGCATCTAATGGACTGATGTCTTTGTGTGACCAGCGAGAACCATAATGGGTTTGGTGGTGGACATGCTAGAAGCACACAGAAAGTTGACGTTGCCAAGCGTTCTTGCTCGGTGTTGGCGGAGCAGATGCGCTCTAGTTAGCGGTTGAGCCTCAGCTCTGCAAGGCTGTTTTTGGGGCTGCTGTAGTGCAAACTCTACAGCTGGGGTATAATTTCCCACCAGCTTTATTAGTCTTGGAAGACAGACTTTGCAAGGATTTTTTTTCTCAGGAATTGAGACAGACATGTAGGGTCTCTTGCGGAACAGAGATTTGATGATTCACATTACATCATTGACCACTCAGACCTCAAAAGCCTGAGGTTTCGTCTTTCAGCGGAGGCCGTTTTGAATCTCTTTTAGGTTTTGAACAATTGCCAGGATTCCGGTCACATATTTTTTTTTATATATATTGTATCACAAAAATAAGTTATAACACATAAATAAGTTTTTTTCCCCCTCAAATAAATAATGCTTTTATATAAACTGCAACTCCAACGTTTGGAATAATTAATAATGATAGAAGTCTTATATGCTCACCAAGGCTACATTTATTTGATATAAAAAAGTAATATTTTAAAGTAATTTATTTAATATTACAGTTTTCTATCCTCCTGACTACCAAGAAAAAACAGTTTTGTGAATTTAGTATGTTGTCATGTCATTACATTGTTTAGAGCATAAGAACATTTTTGAAAAAGGATATTTTATTCATATGTTATTTCATGTCCTCTGTAGAAGACATCGGGACTGTTTAAAAAAAAAAAAAAGACATGAATAGACATGAAAAGGCAAAAACAGTGGGATTTTTGTTTTAATCACAAATCAATTTTCATTTTTTTATACCAAACTTTATATAAAGACGATTCTCAACTATGTTATGAAAGATATTTTTAAAACCATTTTTCTTTATGCAAAATGTGTGTAAAATGGCCATAAACAAGTTTTTCCATTATATACAATGTGTCTATAAACTGTATCTAATTTTCATATTAATGTGTTTTTGGGGCAACATAGAATGAACAAATAAGTGCAATAATGGGAGTAATAATTAGCAAGATTTTCATAATAATATCTAATATTTAATAGGAATATTGATACATAATTTGTTCTCTATTCATTTATTGTGTCTCCCAAAATGTGTAATAAACACGCTTTAAGTCCTGGTGTCCACTACAGTGGACATGTATGAAATCGACGTCCTGTTTCATAACAGAAGGTCATATTTTGATTTGAAACCCCATAACATTTTCCTGAGATTAGTCACATTTAAATGATAATTACAAAATATGATCATATTTCCATAAGGGTGTTACACTTGATCAGTAAATTAATGTCAACTATTTTAAAGTCCAAGGAGAGGGAGTGGTCATGGTGAAACATCCAATCATTTGGTATCTCTGAAATTTTGGAAAACCAGTGCTGGATCCCTCCCGCAAAATCTTCAGCATCCCCAGTGGTTCTTCCAGCGCTGAGCGAGTGTTTGTCCAAGCTAATGTTTCTTAAAGTAAATTCTAAAATCCAGTAAACATCAAGAGATGTTTTAATAGACCACTGTTCCCCGCAGTTATGGTTTATTTTAACTTAACACTAGAAAGTGTGTTTCTTCATTGACGTCAGTTCTTAATCCAAGCGTTCTTTAAGTGCATTTTATCTTGTGTGTGCTTTTCACAGGCTTTATAATCCAGTTGTATTTTGTAAAGATCTAGGCACATTTCATCTCGTGTGTGTGTGCGTTTGTGTTTTAATGAGCCTGTTTTGAATGTTCTATTGCACAACAACTGCAGCAATTTTCACGGAAATAAAGTTAACGAAAATCAAATACACTTTTTCAGTTTTTGCATTTTAGGTAGGTTTGCTAAGGTTAGATTCATATATTTAATCAATTTTAATTAATACATTACAATTAATAAAATTAAGAAGAATGTTAGAATTTCGCTCTGAAACATGATTGCTATTTATCAGCATGCTTAATTTTAGACAATAATCCAAGAATTTTGTTACAAACAGTAAACAATTAGGCCTACTAGAGAAATGTTTTGTCGGAGCGGGATCTGAGCGGGAATTGGTTCACGGTGAGCGTGAGCGGAATATTAACGGAGCGCTTGCTCGGGCGGTTAGAGCGACTGAGCGGAGCGCACGTCCATAGAGCGGAAAACGTAGCGGAGCGTCACACCGCTCCGCTTCGCTCACATGCTCTGGCTCTGTACAGGACATCCAGACTTAAAACTGTGACATGTAACGTCTCAGAGAAGTCACTAAAACATAATGTCCTCTACAGAGGACAAAACTCCATAGCTGGTAGTCAGGAGGCTATTTGAATATATTTTAAAATGTAATTTATTCTTGTGATTTAAAGCTGAATTTTCAGTAGCCATTACTCCAGTCAAATCATTTAATTTAATTGATCTTATATATGATATGTATGCATGCATGTATGCATGTATGTATGTATGTGTGTGTATATATATATATATATATATATATATATACATACATATATGTGTGTGTTTAAATAAAAGTACATTTACATAAATGTATTGTATTAGCTTAGTATAAATATATACTTATTTTATATATACATCTACAGTTATATACATATATAGTTTTCGAATGATTCCCTGGATGCCGTTCACATCTTTTATACACATTATATCTCCTGATTTCTTCAACCTTGCCATCGAGTTCAGCGGTAGTTTAAAGAACCGCAGAGTTACCTGATACTGGAAAAGTAAAGCGGGACTTAGCGATCTCAATGCCGTCTTGCCATGTCTTGCTGTCTCCTCATGATTTCTTGTGTTCTTGTGCCATCTCAGACTTACATGGGTACTCTGAGGCTAGCCAGACTCGAGCTGGCCAATGACATCATGGATTCCTGGGGCCCAGAAGCTTCATAAATAAATTCCTTTCTCTGGCTCTGAGTTGATGGGGGAATAAACTGTGCTACGAATCCTGTGCTAAACTTCTGTATATGGTGCTTCTCGGCCACTGGGCAGATTCACAGTAATGCTGGAGCTGTGCGCTCTTGTCTAAATATTTACCTAGGCTGATTAGTGATGCACCTACACACTGGACCCAGCCCATGTCTTCTCTTTCACTCTTTGGTGCTGTTTGATCAGTGTATGAAATAATTACCTAACCAATAGTGTACACATTGCATTTACATTTATGCATTTGGCAGATGATTGTATGCATATATCAATTCATGCATTTCCTGGGAACTGAACCCATGACCTTGTAGCAACATGCTCTGTTTACTTTTGATTGTTCGTCGAGTTATGATTAATCTATTTGCATAACATTTCTTCTAAACGATTACTATTATAGTGATTTTTTAATGCACTTTTTGGCATTTAAAAGATTATTTTAAAACTGCATCATTAGATTAGTGAGTGAATTTTCAATGCAGTTCAATGAGTTTTGAATCTAGAAAACAAACTTTCAGGTGTCCTACAGACATTATAAAATGGAGGGGTGTCAGGAAAGCAGATTTCTTGAAGCCTTTTCAGTCATTTGTGCTTGTCAGTGTATTAACCGCTTTCTTTCTTATGATTCTTTCATTGCAGGCCCCCAGCATTGACCTCCCACTGAAACATATAGAGACCACAGTGAGTATCTCCAACCATCTTTTACAACTTTATTGACAAGTGCATGCATGTTTTCTTAACATTGGTTTTGGTGGTGGCAAATTTTAAATAAATGCATATGTAATATTATTAAAATATATATTTTACATAATATAAAAAAAAATAAAAGTACATTTTGTTATATTATTTTTAATTGAATTATTATTTATATTTCATAATTGTTCAAATAAAATGTTATTTTAAAATGATATATTATTTATTTTATTCTATAATAAAATAGTAATACAAAAAACATTATATTAATTTTAATTTAAAAACATATTTGTATGTATGTAATTTCTTTATTTTATATTTTGTAATATAAATTACACACACACACATAGAAAATATAATTTTAACATTTATTATAATAGTTTTAATTAAAAAAATATATACATTTTATTTTTATTTGTTTTGTTTTTTAATATTTTTTGTAAAAATGTTTTATACTTGTGTATTTATTTTATATATATTATTATTGGTAATTATATAGTATTTATAGATATTTATAGATAGGATTTTGAGAACTGTATTTGCTTCAAGGAAGGCTTCACCCACAAACTTTTCCTTTTCAGGGGTCATATGATGCGATTTCAATTTTTCCTTTCTCTTTGGAGTGTTACACCGCTTTCTTTCTTATGATTCTTTCATTGCAGGCCCCCAGCATTGACCTCCCACTGAAACATATAGAGACCACAGTGAGTATCTCCAACCATCTTTTACAACTTTATTGACAAGTGCATGCATGTTTTCTTAACATTGGTTTTGGTGGTGGCAAATTTTAAATAAATGCATATGTAATATTATTAAAATATATATTTTACATAATATAAAAAAAAATAAAAGTACATTTTGTTATATTATTTTTAATTGAATTATTATTTATATTTCATAATTGTTCAAATAAAATGTTATTTTAAAATGATATATTATTTATTTTATTCTATAATAAAATAGTAATACAAAAAACATTATATTAATTTTAATTTAAAAACATATTTGTATGTATGTAATTTCTTTATTTTATATTTTGTAATATAAATTACACACACACACATAGAAAATATAATTTTAACATTTATTATAATAGTTTTAATTAAAAAAATATATACATTTTATTTTTATTTGTTTTGTTTTTTAATATTTTTTGTAAAAATGTTTTATACTTGTGTATTTATTTTATATATATTATTATTGGTAATTATATAGTATTTATAGATATTTATAGATAGGATTTTGAGAACTGTATTTGCTTCAAGGAAGGCTTCACCCACAAACTTTTCCTTTTCAGGGGTCATATGATGCGATTTCAATTTTTCCTTTCTCTTTGGAGTGTTACAAGCTCTCTATGCACTAAAGAAGATCTGTAAAGTTGCAAAGACTAAAGTCTCAAATCCAAAGAGATATTCTTTATAAAAGTTACGAGCCAACCACGCCCTCCTAAAATGGCTCGTTCTAACATGCCCCCACATGTCTTCATCACGATGTGGGAAGATTTGCATAACGCCGCCCAAATGTTCACGCAAAGAAAGAAGGTGTAACTTTTATTCTCGCTGTAGTATTGTTGCTGCCGCCATGTCGTGAAGGCGCTGTGTGTTTCGTTGTGAAAGCGAAACTACTTTGTTTGGCCTTCTAAAACAGGACGATATCCGCTTCGTCATGCCTGGAGCTGGTCCGTGCTGGTCGCTGAGGAAATACATCAACTTTGCGTTGTGGATCGCCGGATCGGCTTTCACCGCGGACGAAGTGGAGTCCAGCCCGGGGTCGTCACATGTGGTTGCCGCAAGCCCGCTGGACGCTCCTTCATCGAATCTGCCGGCCGCGCCGTTCTCAAGCCCGCCCGCCGCCGCTCACTCATGCCGGCCTCCGCTCACTCTAGCCCGCTGCCCTCCGCTCACTCTAGTCCGCCGTGTGTTTCATTGTGAAAGCGAAACTACTTTGTTTGGCCTTCCAAAAGAGGACACGATTAGAAATCAGTGGTTAAGTTGTATTTACAACACTGTTCCAGAACAGTTTAACCCAAATATTCAGATGTCAAGATTCAAGAGGACTGTTTCCTGATCCTGGGAGAGTAGACTACAATGCCGGCTGTTCTGACTCACAGACGTACGTTTTTTTATATATAAAGAATTTGCCACTGACGATTCAAACGCAAGTTTTGAGCAGTGTAGAGTAGCACTTGTTGTTTGTCATTTATCCGATCACAAATGCAGACATGGTTTTATGTTTACGCGGCGTGATGCAACGCAACGTTTAAAAAGACAGTATAAGTCAATATAATCCGTAATAATGTCCCCACTGGATGCAACAAATGCCTTTTGTCTCGTCGCTCCGGCCGGACAGGGCATCACAGTATGGTAAGGGGCGTAACATTTCCGTCACACGCTTGAGGTATTCAGCCAATCACAACGCACTGGATAGCTGGCCAATCAGAGCACACCTCACTTTTCAGACCGATGAGCTTTGTAAAAATCTACGCATTTCAGAAGGGCGGTGCATAGAGGAGAAACAATAATATACAGTATGTGGAAAATAATGTGTTTTTTGAAACTTTAAACCGCATAAACACATTTCATTACACCAAATACACAAAATAATGGTCTTTTTAGCAACATTATATGACCCCTTTAAAAGCGGACATTGACAAGCTTGTTGGGTCAATGTGAACATGACGGTTATGTTTCCAACATTCCAAGTACAACACCCAAATGTAGAATGTTTAAAGTGTTGGCGTTTGTTGGGTCAGTGTGAACACAGTGTAAAGTCATTACTGACATTGCTGCAGAAATAACAGCTTTAAGATGTAAATATTTAGGTCTTTAGCAAACACTGTTGCTATGCAGCTTCTGTAGTCTAAACTTCACCAGTCTAAAACTCACGGAGTGCTGAAGCTCAAATTATTGGTTGGATTAGCTAAACACGGCCTCACTGGGGCTAGAATGACCGCCCAGTGAACATGCTTTAAAGGGACAGTATGCTTAAAAACAAAATTCAGTCATTATTTACTCCAAACCTGTATGAGTTTTTTTTTCTTTAGCTCAACATAAAATAAGATATTTTGAAGAATGTTGGTCGTCAAACAGTTGCCGGTAGCCATTGACTTCCATAGTATGGAAACAAATACTGTGGAAGTCAATAGCTACCGGCAACTGTTTGCTTACCAACATTCTTCAAAATATCTTCTTTTGTGTTCAGCAGAAAAAAGGTTTGCAACAACACGAGGGTGAATAAATGATGACAGAATGTTGATTTTTGGGTGAACTGTCCCTTTAACTGATTATCAGAGGAAGAGATGTCATAGCTCAAGCATGTGTGTTCACTTGTGTCGTCGCCACCCTCTCAGAAACCCCTCCATCCACCCTGTTCCTCATCCCTCTCATGCCTGGGTGAAGAACACTCACACCAGACGCAGCTGTGGATGACTAACTGCCTTGATCCAAATAAAATTCAGACTTTCGTTTGGAGCCGTCCATATGAGCATGAGTATGTTCTGAGATTTAGGGACAGAGAAACAGACTCTAATAATCCCCCTGAAACATTATTAGATCTTTTTATTGATACAATATTGAACTGGAGCATAGCCGAAGGAAATGCTGTAAAAGCAAAGCCCTGCATGTACCCAGGGGTGTAAGAACCATCTGAGAAGTGGAGGGGGGAACATTATAAACCTTATCAACTTGGCAATTTACCATTCATTGAGTAATCCAACAGTTAGCTGCTTTGCTGGTAAGTCTGTGTCACTTAGAGTAGAGTTACCGCTTACTGTATTTGTCCATTTGACAACCAGTTGGTAGAGGATCCAGATTTTTCTTAAAAAAAAATACTTTCTGGTCATTTCATGTGACTGGCTACAAATCATTTTTCTGCACCTTGGCCAAGACGGGGTTTTTATTGTTAACTTAAAAAAAAAATACTTTAAATGAAATAAATAAATAACCAAGGCAACATTTATCATTTTCATTTAGTTAAAGCTGCAGTCCATAAGTTTTGCCTCTTTGTCGCCATCTCTGTTTGAAAACCTGCAATTGCAGCTGTGTGCGGAATTATCTTCCTTGCGTGGGTTGTATGGCGGCACGGCTCCAGCACGGATAAATCTAATGTTTTGAGGAGTATGTGTGACAGTCAGTCACCACACCGGTGTGGATATTGTACTTTGCACTCACAGATTCTCGCCTACGTCTTGGAATATATGACTCAAGCATTTTCACCAGATATTGTCATCTGAACAAGTAAGTAACAAGTCTGCCACGTTTGTTCTGACCAACTGAGGAAAAAAGCATTACAATAAATCGCGCTACCAATGGTGATTTAGAATCTAAATTAGCTCATATCACATCAAACCGTGCAAATTATTATTATTGTTATACTTTATTCTCTAATTGTTAATGTTAACAATGTCAGCATTGCGTAACTATGAGTATAGTGTGTATAAGAGAGAAGATTGAAATTCTTGTACAGTCTAATCTCTAATTGTCATACCACTCGAATTTCATATTAAGAAATTCTTTTAACCTATAAAGCTAATTATGCTCGCTTCGAACTGGTTGTCTTTAAAATGCAAATCTTGCGTAATCCCATGGTATCTGTAATCAGAAGCACATTTAAAACTGGAATATAATTGTAATGACGATTCAGTGACGTTGGGATCCATGTGCAGCTTTATTAACAATTCGACAGGCAAAGTTCAGTCAACAGCATACAGGGGTAACGTAGGCAAGGCAGAATCATAACCAGAGTCCATGCAAAGGGGTCGAGGCTGGCGGCAGACAGAGGAGAGAGTAAATCAAACACAGGGCAAGATCAAAGAGGCGGGCAGCAAACAATCAGACAGGTCTAAACAATCCAGGTAGGCAACAGGCAATCAAACAAGGTATGAATGCTCAGAAATGTCAGCAGTAGCAAAAACAAGACTTCGCAATGAGGGTAAGGTAGGCACTGCCTAAATAGTCATGGTAATGATCAGCACCTGTGCAAGTAATCAATGTCAGGCATGGGGTGATGGGAAATGAAGTCCTAAGGAACAGTTAGTACTCCGGTGAGGGTTCCCTCTGGTGGGGATCGGAGGGAGCCACGGAGGCTTGATTTGTGACAATAATTTAATATAATTTCATTGACATGTCATTGGATTGTAATCCAGAAAGGATTATGTGTTTATGAAACACATAATCCTTTCTGGATTACAATCCGCCATCAAAATGATAAATTTAATTATTGGCAGCGGCTATTTGCATTAAGTGTAAATAGTGATAGAGGCTACTTTGACACTAAGTGCAAATAGCAGAATTTTTTAGTGATATGCTATTTACACTAAGTTCAAATAGCTATCGATTCTATTTACACTGTTAAAATAGCAGGATTTTCTGCTATTTATATTAATTATTGCAAATAGTGGCAATTATCTGCACCTCAGTATTGTAGTACATTATAAAACAGTATGCAATAATAACTTGAGTGTAAATTTTAATTTTAATTCAAATGATTAAATAGATGCCACCTTATTGACAATAAAGCCCTCCCTACACCTACCCTAACCCTACCTGATACTTTATTACTTATTAGTAAGATACTAGATACTTTTTTATTATTTCCTTCATTTTCATAGAAAATAAATGCTTTTCTGATGTGATTTAAAATTGGAAATGGGAGAAAAAAGTTCGGCAAAAGGCGGATTCGAACCCAGGTCGATCGCGTCAAAATCAGTACAACACACGTTATTCCATCTGCACCACTGGAACTGACAGCTGCTGACTGTCTTTTATAATGTTGACTAGCCGAATCACACGTTGGTGGGCGGGGTTAGTGTAAATAGCCTCTGCCAACAAGGCGGGCTATTTGTACTTAGTGTAAATAGACACTCCGTTAATTATTCTGGCTGCTGTGAGAAAAGGCTAAACGATCGGCAACCTGCAGGATCCTCACATGCGATAGCCTAGTTGCCAGGACGACTTCTTTATGTTTACAGAAGTGATGTAATGACGCAGCAGCATGCTCGAATTTCCCGCGAAAACCTACCCGTACCACTCAAATTAGAAAACATTATTATAAGATGACCGTTGTGAATATTCCAAGTCACTTTACAAACCAGGATTTGTTTTGTGCAAAACTGACAGACATAATAATGATCTTTAAAAAAGCATCATATGACCCCTTTAAATAATCGTGATTACAATATTGACCAAAATAATCGTGATTATGATTTTTGTCATAATCGAGCAGCCCTAGTGCCTACCTATGACGTAATAGATAGGTTAAACACCGCCTCCACAGAAGAATATCAACGCCTAATTCTGTAGCCCCGCCCACTGATTCGCACATGACATAGCAGGGAAACAACGTAAGTGGCACTAAACCAAATCGAGCAACCAAGCAATAAACATGCCGTTAAAGATTGCAAAATATTGTGCAGTGCCTGGTTGTGGAAGAACACAGTCGCTGCATAACCTTCCTTTGGATTCAAATATTAGGAATGCGTGGTTGAACTTTATTTTTAATGAAGTTTCAGCTCAAGTGAGTAAAACATTGAGCGTTTGTTCGCTTCATTTCACCGCGGATTCCTTTGTAAACAAGACAAAAGTCGACGCTGGATTTGCAGAGAGACTGAGATTAAAAAGCAATACTGTGTGTTTATATTGGATCCGACAGGAATGGCGCAGCACACTTATGTGAGTAAAAAATATTTGTACTATGTGTCACTATTGCTTTGTTTGAGATTGCTTGATATGTCCTGATTATGTGTACGTGTCTAACCAAAGTCATAGAAGGCTCCAACTATGAAGGACGTATAGACACACAGCAAGTTAGTTTACTATGCAAAACTATTATCCAATCATAGCAGTGGGCATTTACTTCCAAGTCTTCGATGCGGCACGCCCATAAAAACAGAGCGTTTCACGAACCGGCCGCAAAACCAGGGTAGAAAATAGCCTATTATTGATTTTGATGTTTTTGAATGTAAAAACCGCGCACACGTCATTAGTGGACATCAGACAACAGTCTAAAATAATAATTTAAAAAAGCCAGTTCATGACCCCTTTAAAGATATGGCAGCAAAAGTACACCGCTTGCTTTAAGGTCAGCGAGAGGATGAAAAATGCTCATGAAAAACAAAATTACAGCTATTTTTAGCATCCTAAGTGGACCTCAGAGATGAAAACTATGTATAAACCAAAAAAGAAGTATGGTTCGACCAAAAGAAAACCATATACGTTTATATTCTAGAGGAAAGTGAGGTGATTGGCCGTGGTTTACTGGAGGTGACAGAACTGTGAATAGTTGAAGCCGTGAGGTCGGGATGATCATCTCCTCCAGTCAGCTGCTGAGTGTGTGACCTGGAGAGAGAGCAAAGGCTAGACCGAAGATCCAAACAAACGCGGGTGGCACACACACAGCATGGGAAAGAGGGAGGGGAGAGGTGCAGAGGAAAAGGGAGGGGGCCGGAGAAGGAGGCGGGAGGGAAAAAAATAAGGGAAAGAGTTACTCTGCGACTGGGAGAAGGAAGAAAGCTGCGGTCCGCTTGAGTTTGACGCCAGGCATGTGGCATCCTAGGCACAGCACTGAACCAAAATAGAGCCGGGAACGTGGGGCGCGCTTCAGGAAAAGGGGACTGCAAGAAGAAGGGAAGCATTCATTCCCAACCATGAATCCCAGCAGCTCTCTACGGAGGCGTTTGTCCTCCATTCGCGATGTTTGGAGGTGGAGTACAGGTTACCTGTTCAAGGTAGGCCTTCGAGTTTCCGCTGAACTTTCGCTCTTTTCCAGATTGTAGGTCTTGTAGGCAACTTTTTCCTCAAAGCTCTCCCTTGCTTTCTTCCCTGCGCTCTCTGATTGTTCATTTGTCGGGCCCGCTCGAAAGCAGCGTTTCCAGCTGGTTTTGATCAAGCCTGGCTGAGACCCCCTCCAACCCCCCACCCACTCTTTCTTGGCTGTCCTTCTGGGGGTCGCAATTATCGGCTGATTAAGGGAATGTTTTTGGAGCCGGGCACCGTGTGGCGAGAGATGGAAGGTGGACCCTGTGGATGGATAGAGGGGGTTTGCAATGCCAGGGTGTTTTATTCGAGTGTGTCACAATGGCTTTCTCAGACTATAAGTGAGTGACTTTGCAGTCTGTCTTAGTATTGCATATTTGTATTTCCTTGTGTTTTATGATTGTTCATAATGGCCTGGCCCAGTAATCTATACACACAAAAGTTTGTTAGACTTCAAAATGTGTTAATGGTCTTTTACAGTCTGTTCACTGAAAGCTCGATTGACCTCTAAATACTATGCGAACAATATTGTAGTAGATTTCTCTGGATTCTTGGAAATGAGGATTATAGGAAACTAACGCTGTGGGAACATTTAATTTAATGAATGCTCTTTAAATGGACAGATCACCCAAAAATAAAAATTCTGTTACATGCCCTCATGTCGTTTCAAATCCGTTTGACTTACATTCTTCTATGGAAAAAATATATTTTAGATTGGTGTTTTTGTGCGTACATTTTAAGACAGTGGGAGACAGTGTTGTTTTGGACCCCATTGACTTTAGACAAAAACACAGACACATTCTTAAAGATATATTCTCTTTTTTTGTTCTGCAGAAGAAACAAAAAAGTAATTCAGGTTTGGAATGACACGAGGGTAAATAAATGATGACAGAATTTCAATTCAGGCAGACTGTTCCTAAGTGCTTAGATAATTCATTAAATAAAATGTACAGGCTTCCCACGGTCAGTGTTGTAATATCCAGACAGGGAAATGTCATGGAAATTAGGTGATGTGTGCACAATTATTAATGGTTTCTGTTTTGTTTTGTTTTTTGGATCTTGACAAGTCCAACACAACAGCATTGACCAATGGCATGAGTTTGGGGCGGAACTATCTGTTTGCTAACCAATGGCAAATTGGCTCAGGAAACTGTTTGAAAACAGTCATTTTGCTATGCCATTGCCTTTTTAAAATGTATTTATTTATTTATTTTTTGAATACAATTCTGAATGGGTTTTGTTTGACAGTATGTTCTTGGTAATTTCTATAGTCAATTAATTTTTATGCACTGTTTTAAAATATTTATTCTGTTAGCTATCACTCATTAAGCAATTTCCCAGTTCCCAGCAATTTCCTCAGATTCAAACCTCAGTATGTTGTTTTCTTATTGGAGACATTTGAACTTGAAGTTTTCCCATTATTTCATTTACTTTAAGTTGTTCTATACTTTTCTAAGACTACTACATATGGGAAACCACATGCAAAGTCCATACACCTTATAGAAAAGGCCCCAGCACTGTTTGTAATTATATGTTGGATGCTGGGTTTTCTTAGTAAGCATTGTTCCTTTTAAGTCATGCACTAGTATGTCATTTTGATGGTGAGCGTAAACCACGCATCTTTTAAGGCTTATCCTTCTTTTGTGAGACCAGTAACACTAACTTATATTAGTTAAGTTTCTAAATGTCATTTTACAGGTAAAAGTGTATTTTTGTCCCACTACCATCACCAAACCAAGTATAGTGCAGAAATTACACACCTTTCAGCATCTCCTGTGTGAAATCCATATAATTTAATTCCCTCACTTTACAGGCTGTCATTGCATTTAGAGTATATACAGCTAAGAGGACATGCTCAGTGTTAGATACAGACCTACACGCTCACATCAGCTCTCTTCAACCTGTATCAACACAGTTTTACATACGGATAAACACAAACCAAAAGTAACTGTCCAAACAAATGGCCTTTTCATTGGTGTAATCAGCAGAACAGTCTGAGCTCTGGAGATGAACGGTAAACCTCCCCTGTAGATAACTGGTTTACGGTCATTTTTAAACAGGAAATAGGCTAAAAACATCTGGAAACTGTTGTATTTGTGAGATCATTATTAGTGATAGACCACTTTATCAGCCAGGCTGAATAATTGGATATTATTTGGTAATTTTGAGATGATCTGCATAAGATGAATAGAGGTTTTGCTGTATGTTGTGTCAGTTCCAAAATCTATGTATTTTTAAAGATAATTTTAAGCAAATATTGCATTAAATATTTATGGTAAAAATGTTATGGTCATGGTTTTGTGAATATATTGACATTATATCAGCCATAAAAAAAAATATTTAAAACATTTATACTGTAAGATTAAAGGTTACGTTTTGAGAATCTTCCATTGACTTCCATTGATAGAATGTTCGGCATTTAGAACTGCATGCAATTCCGATCTTGTCTTGCATCTATATTTAGACATATATATACACATTTATGCTGCATAGACATCCGTGTGTGTTTTGCACTGTGTGCTGATTCTCATACATAACTAACAGAAAACAATGGGAAATTGGCTCTGATGCCCTAAAACTTTACCTCTGTTTTTGTCTGACTGATGCTTCCTTCATGAAGTGTAAATCTAGTTCATACACTGGCTTTCCTCAACTACATTTTCATGATCCTAACGAGAGTTTTCTTTTCTTTTAGGGCTCAACCAAATCCTCCAAGAGCATGGAGTCTCGACGCAGACCATCCAGGTAAGAGATATCTTTGTCTTCATCAGAAATCAGTTCAGTCAATATCCCATATCTCAGTCAATATCTCATGTGTTGCTACAGTATGCGCTGCTGAAGTGAACATCTCAAGGGATCTTCATAGCATTCCGAAATCTAGCGCCAGTTGACATTTGACTCTGCTTGGATCAGTCTCACATTCTTTATTGCAGTTTATGAGTACGACAAATAAACACACTTTAATGCATCTACAGTGCCTTGCGAAAGTATTAAATTTTTTCACGTTTTGTTATGTTGCTGCCTTATGCTAAACTGCTTTAAATGACTTTTTTCCCCACATCATTATTAGTGATAGACCACTTTATCAGCCAGGCTGAATAATTGGATATTATTTGGTAATTTTGAGATGATCTGCATAAGATGAATAGAGGTTTTGCTGTATGTTGTGTCAGTTCCAAAATCTATGTATTTTTAAAGATAATTTTAAGCAAATATTGCATTAAATATTTATGATAAAAATGTTATGGTCATGGTTTTGTGAATATATTGACATTATATCAGCCATAAAAAAAAATATTTAAAACATTTATACTGTAAGATTAAAGGTTACGTTTTGAGAATCTTCCATTGACTTCCATTGATAGAATGTTCGGCATTTAGAACTGCATGCAATTCCGATCTTGTCTTGCATCTATATTTAGACATATATATACACATTTATGCTGCATAGACATCCGTGTGTGTTTTGCACTGTGTGCTGATTCTCATACATAACTAACAGAAAACAATGGGAAATTGGCTCTGATGCCCTAAAACTTTACCTCTGTTTTTGTCTGACTGTTTCCTTCAGGAAGCATAAATCTAGTTCATACACTGGCTTTCCTCAACTACATTTTCATGATCCTAACGAGAGTTTTCTTTTCTTTTAGGGCTCAACCAAATCCTCCAAGAGCATGGAGTCTCGACGCAGACCATCCAGGTAAGAGATATCTTTGTCTTCATCAGAAATCAGTTCAGTCAATATCCCATATCTCAGTCAATATCTCATGTGTTGCTACAGTATGCGCTGCTGAAGTGAACATCTCAAGGGATCTTCATAGCATTCCGAAATCTAGCGCCAGTTGACATTTGACTCTGCTTGGATCAGTCTCACATTCTTTATTGCAGTTTATGAGTACGACAAATAAACACACTTTAATGCATCTACAGTGCCTTGCGAAAGTATTAAATTTTTTCACGTTTTGTTATGTTGCTGCCTTATGCTAAACTGCTTTAAATGACTTTTTTCCCCACATCAATCTACACTCCATACACCATAATGGTAAAGCAAAAAAAATGTTTTTTAACATATTTGCAAATTTATTAAAAATAAAAAACTGAAATTGAGCTCATTAGCATTCATATTGCTTGTAGATGTTACTACATTTCAAGTGAAGTTAACCTGTGGCAAATTCAATTGAATGGGCATGATTTGGAAGAGATGAGGAGAAGAATGGCAGGTAATTGCCAAATGCTGATGTGCAAAGCTTGTCGCATCATACCCAAAAAGACTTGAGGCTGTTAAGGTTCTTCAGCTAAATATTTAGTAAAGGGTATGAATACTTATGCAATGTACTTATTTCAGTTTTTTATTTTTAATAAATTTACGAAGTTGTGACAGTTCTGTTTTTGCTTTGTCATTATGGTGTATGGATTGTAGATTTATGTGGGGGACAAAAATAAATTTAAAGCAGTTTATCATAAGGCAGCAACATAACAAAATGTGAAAAAAAATGAGCACTGTATACAATCTCCAGCGATAAGTAATGATGTCCTAATAGGGCTTCTCGCCCACATATAGTATATTATATAAATAATGGCTCGGTTATCTTGAGTGATAGTTTCTATAGATACAGGCAATAAAGGAGGCACTGAAAAACAAATCCTTGTTACCATATTTTCTCATTCAGTTCTATTAGGAAAATGAAGAATATATCCAACGGAACGGGCTATTTTGAAAGAAAAAGAATCTGTCACATCAAATAAAAGAAAAAAAGGCAATGTTAGTAAAAGAAGCTAAAATAATACCAAACAATTCAACCAATACATGGTGACTCTTTTGTAAGTGCAAAAATCACACAAAAATTTTAAGGATTTGTTTATCTTTCCAAAAATATATACAGGGTGTGATTTGTGAAAAAAGCAGAGGGGGGGATGATTTTGAAAACTTTTTTTCAGAGCAAGGCTTTAGTGTAATCTGTTAACAAAGCACATCATAAACCCGTATTTTTAAACAAGTACCAGATAATGTGTGTCATGTCACGAAATGTTTTTAATACGACTGAAACGGGCTATTTAACGTGATCACAATTTAATAAAAAGATTAGGCCGATTAATTAATTTCAACGGTTATTTAAACAACGAATAAATTATATAGGAAAGTGAGCAAAGAACATACATTTTACAGTATCAACTGAGCTTTTTGAAACTCCGAATCAGTTAAACCATTGCATCGCAAAATGATTCACTGTTTTGAATTGCTCCAATCGGATCGCGTATCACTAATCACTTGATTCAGATCGGGACTTCAAAGCGTGTATCGCAAATCATTTGATTCAGATCGAGACTTCGGCACTGTTCACGGGATGTTTTTTTATCCCCACCGGAGATAAAAAAGAATCCAGCTGAGGCAGGGATGAGTAGACCAGAGGGGGGGAAATCCCCCACCCCCCATCCCCAAATCGCACCCTGTATATATATATACAGTTCAAACAGATGCCATTAATACAGGTAACCAGTGGAGGACAGAGGAGCCTCTTAAAGAAGAAGTTACAGGTCTGTGAGAGCCAGAAATCTTGCTTGTTTGTAGGTGGCCAAATACTTATTTTACCGAGGAATTTACCAATTAATTCTTTAAAAATCCCTATGTAAATGAATGAGTGGTAATCTGAATTTGTGGTCTGGATCTGTGCCATTGTATGCAATGGTAATCATTTATACCTCATTATTTATGGAAATTAAACTAAAACAAAGTTTATATATTATGTAAAAATGTCGTAATGGCTATTTTTGGTTTCTTCCACACAATTCAAAGGTACTTAATCTCAATTGATTGTTTAGATTATAAAAAATATTTCCTTTTTATTTGGAACTCGATGGATGCGAACCAAAAGATAAGAGCAATCAAAACAAATGAAAGATTCGTCTCATGTTACGTAACACTGGAGTTGATCTCTGATCCATTCTGATGGTCTTATTTCTCTCAGCTGTTGGGTGTGTTCATGCCAGCTGTGAGAAGATGTTTTGTGAAATTCAGCACTACAAATAGCTCCCATTTCAGCTACCAGGGGGAAGTTTTGCTTTTTATTTACATGGGCTGCTATTTTATTTCTCTCTTGTTTTGGGAAACTCTCTTTTGGACACAGTCTTAAAATGAGATACTATTGGACCCTTTGATTTTCTGCCAAAAAGCGCATTCTTGTTTTCACTGGTAGATGGAGTTTGTGCAATAGATACTATACTGTAGCTCAGTTCTGGAGAATGAATTGCACCTGCTGATAGCACTGTTTTATTTGCATGCGCTATCTGTGGTGTTTTAGCCAACTCAGGAATTATGCAAATCAGGTAACAGTGCAAACATGCCCACATAATCTATGAAAAGCATTTGAGATCCACACACCTAAAATCATCTACTCCTTTTACATTATTTGATCATCACTTAATGAATAACTACTTCCAATTTTAGTATAAAAGTAATAGACAAATAGACTTCATTTACATTAGGTGCTCTTTCAGGGCATTTAGAACCTGGTGAAGATGGAATATGGGTGGTTATTGAATAAGGTTAGTGAATATGTTTGTTTAAAAGTGAATGAACGCACAAACCTAATGGGCTTCCAAAATGATTGTGGGACCAGGGGAAATCCTTAATATTAAAGGATTGTTCAGGGATGGTTACACCTTGTATTTTGCACATTCTGAGATCAGCCAGAATCTCCTGAGAGTAGTGTAATGTTGTACTTGTCTTCCAAAA